GATTGTTAGCCGCCCTGAGTCCGCAAGGAGAAGGGCGGGATATAAATTTAATAAAATAAAATAAAAATAAATAAATAAATCCTCTTAACGTCAAAATCCTTAAATATAAATCTAAAATTGTGGAGTGAGTCAGCAGCCGATGTACAGGTATATTACAGCACGATTTTGTGGAATTTTAAAGATCCTTGCATTCTCTGGAAGAACTTATATAAACAAGATTTCATTTCATTTAAACTGTGGGTTTAAAATGCAGATTTTTTTTTCCTTGAAGAGCTGATTTTATTCTATTTTCTAAAGAAATAAGCAGTTTCTTATAACCAACATTAACATTCTGACAGAGCTGATTAACTGAATAGCTATATTACTTTTTATATGAATGGCAAAAAAAAGTTTATAGAACATGTCTTGGAATTAGGCCTAATGCTGAAGAATGGAATTCTTACAGAAAAAGTGAGATAAAACAGCTGCAAGGCAATCCTGTGGTTGTTTTGAACAAGAAGAGTTCCACAGTTTTGTAGCATGATTTACATCCTAAAGTATATTTAAGGATTGCAGATTTAAATGTGCTTGGCTGCTCCTGCTTTTAAGATGAAATGGCCTATGCATTGCTCTGTGGAACAGATCTATTCATTTTTTATCTCTGCATTTTCTATATGGACGTCCAAGTAAGGATAGCTAGTTGGTACATACAGTTAAAAAAATAATAATCAAGAAACCAATGGATTAACAAAAAGATTGTTGTATGTATATTATATCAAGGGTAAAAGTGTAAACTGATTGAAAAGACAGCAGAATCTTTAATTAAACCTAGATTTTGCAGCTACAATCAGGGCTTTTTTCCTCATAGAACGCCCAGAACGGAGTTCCGGCACCTTTTTTGGATGGAACCTTGTAGGGTAGGCAAGGCGGGTTGTATGACGTGTGTGAGTTCCGGCACCTTTTTTTTTTTTTTTAGAAAAAAAATATGTTCAGTATGTTTCACCAGTGAGCATTCATAGGAAACACTTGTGCATGTAGAAGGGCAACTAAAACCTTAATCGTCCTGTGATGTTAAGTGTGGTCTGTCTACATTTAGTCACAGATTTTTTACAATATAATACAAAACTTTTTGCTCATTTCTAAAGTGTTAAGGTCTCCTTAACTGTCCATTTAGCTTGGTGTATATCTTCTACTTTATAAAAAAAACATTTTTTTTGCAAGCTATCAGTTTTCTTTGCTAAAGTAAAAATAAATTCTGTTAGAAAGTTATGCAGAAATAAAACTCTTTAG